CAGGTGATGGGAGCAGCACCAGAATCTGTGCCCAAGTTCAGAACCTGCTTCCACTCCCATCTGGCAGAGGAAACCCCCAGCTCTGTAGACACAGGTGGCTCCCAGAACCAGTGCACCAGGGATGATGGCATCCCCAGGGGATGCAGGTCAGCTGCACAGGGGAACAGATCAGGTCTAAACACAGAGCAATGTGGCCCAGTGCAGCCACCCTCCCGGGCTCACCTGCAGCTTCCAGAGTGCAAGATCTTGGGGAAAGACTTCCTACAGAATATTAGCCGGGAATTCACTGGTATGCTCTCCCATGTCCTCAGGAAGGGTGGTTTGCTAGCTCCTGCCATTCAAAACTCACTCCTGCTCAAGAGTCTAAGCATCAGCCTGTTCGACTGGGGTTTAAAAAACCCCACACTACTCAGTCACCGGTGAAGAAGGATCACTGCTTTGCAGCACATTAATTGGGAAAAAAATTAGTCCAAGAGGTATTTGTTTTCCATCCACACAAGCAGCAAAGCTGCATTTTCTCCCTCCAGCTGGCAGGAACCCTCAGCTGTGACCCACTGGCAGCAGTCACATGCTCTGCACAGTCCTCCAAACAACTGGGCAATTGATTAACATAGCTCAGATAAGGGTGTTTACACACCCGGAGACGCCGAGAAAGTGGATTTCAAACACTCTGGGAAGCTGAGTCTTCCCCATTTCCTCAGCTAAGGCCGGAAAAGCATCACGAGGCCTGTGCTGCCCTGAGACTTTCTGCTTACCAGGAGGCACAAAACACCCTCCCACACTGCAGGAGGCCAGCAGCAGGCAAAAGGAGAACTTGTGCTTTTAACTGGGCTCTGCTTTTCCCCAGGGCATCCCCTCTCTTGGCACCTCCAGCTGGGAATCATCCTCCAAGCCATTAAGTCAAAGCCACCCCCCTGGGAATGGGGAAAGCTGTTTGGGAATGGGCTGTTTCCAGGACCTTGGAGCTTTTGCTTTTTCCAGGATTGGGCTTTTGCACAAATGCCCCACCTTAGTGGACCAGCCTGGTCACACATGATGACACGGAAAGCACCACAGTCCTCAGGGACAGAGGTGGGACAGCAGCTCTGGCTGTGCCAGAGGCCTCCTGGTGCTTGGCTGCAACAGGAGTGGAGTGAATGGCTTGGGGCAGAAGGAAGACAGCAAAATGCATGCTGGTCCCCACCCTCCCAGCCAGAGACACCATGCAGGCATCATCACCCGGTTCCTTGCTCAGAAGAGTGGGCAGACTTCCCGGGACACCCTGACAGCAGCTGCCCCCAGCCCCTGCTGCAGCTTCTCCTCAACCTGGCACAGCACCCACAGCACTCTGCTCCGTCCTCCACCCACCAAGGAGGAGCAGCTGGACATCCACTGCTCCCCACCCATCTTCATCCTGGGCTGAGGTGCTCCAGCCAATCCCTCTGCCCTGAAGGAGAATCCTCTCCAAAGGGTCACCAGTGGAGCCTGGCTGACCAGTGAGCCAGGACAGCGCCCAGCTCCATTAATACCACTAAATCACAGAACGACTCGTGGGGAAAGGGCTTTAAATCCACTCAATTCCATCCCCTGCACCGCTCACCTGCGGGCACCGAGTACCACCGGGCACCGAGTACCTCCCAGCACCGCTCACCTCCGGGCACCGACTACCTCCCGGTACCGCTCACCTGCGGGCACCGAGTACCACTGGGT